ATTTAAAAAGTGGCCGCTTTTTGGAAACACAATAAAAATTATACAATAGAATTTTTCCGTTCCAAAAAGCGGCCATTTTTCACTAATTGGCTTAATTTTCGGCCGCAATTAATACGTAGCCTAATCAAGGTAAAATAACGTTTAATTCTTTGAGTACAAGATTGTTTTTACGTAATCAATGGGACGAAGAATGGTTGATAGGCAAACGGCCCCATGAAAGGTTTTTGATTCGAGACTCCAACTATATTACATCAAATGAAAGGGCTCAGTAAGTTGAGCACTTTTTGTGACGGAACTTGATCTTTTTAATGAAGCCATGAAGAGTTCTGAGTAAGTTAACCTGTAAAATTTCAGGGCCAGAATTTTTCATAACTTTATTTAAAAGTCCAAGTTTCGTCACAAAAAGTGTTCAACTCATCAACTTCTTTCGTTCGGTGTATCGAATAAAAAAACTTTTATAGAATTAATTTGTCTGTCACTTCTCTCTCGTCCTTTTGTCTATATAAAAATACTCAAAGAATTAAATAATCATCAGTAATTATAGACAATCTTAATGCATAAATATTTTAAACATAAATCGTCTTGCAACTCATATCATTAAATAATCGACGGTCCTTATTTTTAAAAGTTATTCAGGTTCCAAAATATCAGAACGCGAATTTACGTCATCCGTACTCAAAGGGTTAATAATTTATTTATCGAAAATATTTCCAGATAAATAATATCTTACTTTATGAAACCAATTTTTATTTGTTGATATCGTTGATTGAATGTTTGAACTAGGATAATATTTCTCTGTTGACGAACTTTCCAGCAAGATTGATAACTGTTCTAGATTAGGAGTACTATCAATGATATGTTCAAGAATACATCCCAATCTGATACGAATATCCAGATGACGTAGAGTTAAACAACAGGATTGATATCCAACAGATGTTTTGTTTGATTCAAGTTGATAATATGAATATAAGTTTTTATAAAAATCCGTAGATAATTGACTAATATCAAGTCGAAGAGTCACTAATCGGCATACGTCAGAAAATAAATCGCAAAATAATGCTTCAAACATAGCTTCGATTTCTTCTATTTAATTAAAACAAAATGAAAATCAGTATCTATCATTAAATTGAAAAACAATTATCTTTATTTTCCTACTTTATTCAATTTATCTAGGAAAAGTTTTAGATTTGGAGTATTTTGTCCGAAATTCTTGTTGTTTTCAAATTAGATTATATTTAAAAGGATGATTTCTTCTATCATTATAAATATCTAATAAAGGAATATCTCTTTTGTAAATATTTCATAACTAAAGTTCTCGAAATTGTTTCAAAACTGAATAATGAACTTTTCAAATAGAGTAAATATTTCTCAAATGATTGATTGAAAATTAATAAACCGATAAATATTAGCTTTTAGTGTTGGAGATTCTACACCAATATCATTTTCTTGTGTTTTCATTGACGCACCACTTCAATTGTTAATAAAATAATTTTGCAAAATTGAAACATGTGTATCTCGAAATAAGGAACTTGTCTACAGCTCATTAATGTATATTATATAACATTAAAGGATCTCGCTTTCGAATCCAAAATATCCAAATTTTTGGTTTTTCTGTCCTACATATGCTTTCAAATGCTCTTTCTCTATCTACTTATGACATTCTGAGTACCTAAACATATTCTTAAATTAAAATTAGAATCGAAAAGATAAAATGATTGCCGTAGGACTATAACATGACCTTTTCTTTCTTTTTCAGCTTCCTATAAATCCAGTTTTTCAGCGAAAATCTACAGAACCGTCCTTGTTTCTCATGCACAGTACATCCGATCTGGCTAAAACTCTTTTATATAAATACCAGAGACAGTTTAGAAGATTATTTTTTTTCTGAGTTTTTTTGGGTTTCACAAGACAAGCACTATGCAAAATAATAGGCAATATTTAGTGTGCTCTCCGCAAATATCCTTTTCTATTCGAATAAAACGCAATAGAAAGAAACCAAAAACAAAGCAATCACCCTTAGCAATATCTAATATCAATTTAAAAAAAATTCAGCTTTATAGAACATACAGCAGCTAACCAATGGAAGCAATTTGGAAAGTCTTTTTTTAGCTGGGTGTGATCCCAATACTTCCTAGAAAAAAAAAAACATTGCGGAATTCTGAGTCTATGACAAGTTTTACTTTACATATGAAGATCTCTCAGTTACGAAAGTTTTAAAGTTCTTCGAGAAACTGCGCAAACAGTAGGGTCTATATCCTGAAGAAAAAATCAAAGATGGATACTTTTTTTCAGAGAATCTACTAGTAAAAAATTAGTGTTAATCGCACGATGAGATTGAATTGTATGAAAGATCTTATCGGATTAAGACTTTCGCTGATATATCTTAAGAATCCTTAATATTATGCTTGACATAAAGATCAAAGAGCAAGAAATAATTATACTGCCTTTTACTTGGTACCGAAAATTTTCATCGGTATCTCTTACAAATGTATGTTGACTGAATGAACAGAGAATATATGTAAACTCTGATTGTATTTGTCCTCGGTAGTGAGATATTACATGAAGTATAAACAACTTGGAGATTTTGAAAACATGGAAAAAACGTGATTATAATAATTTTTGATGTTTTCGAATTTTGTCGATAAAATCAAAGTCGCACTCAAATCATAAGTTGACATTGATTAAATGACAAAGTCATGGGATATCTTCGGTGAAATATGAAAACATAAAAAAATGAGCTTCGTTCTGATAATTAATATTAGTCCTATTAAGTGTATGGTCTAGACTATCTTGACACCTATTTTTATTTTCCTCGATTTATTATTGATTTTTAAAATTTCAAATTTTAATAGAACAAATATCGTTCTATAGAATAGACTATTTTATGTTCAACTCTAAAATATTGTTGTTTTTGAAAACAAATTGTTAATTACCACGATCAGAAAAGAATGATTGAGGTAGCTGACTGTAATCGATGTTATACTTCGGATCTTCTATAATTGTTAATGTAAGTTCATTTAATTGATATTGAATAAGTTCATATAATATTTCAATTAATGGTTTAGATAATAAACATGAAGTAATAGAAAGTGATTGAAAATTAGGAAAAAAAATATTTATTTTATTTTCTTGATAGAAAATATCTTGATAAATTAAATCAAAAGAAATTAAATCATCATCATCAATATGAATTAATTTCATAGAAGATGTAAGAGATGACGAATTTAATATTAATGGAAGTAATGTTGATGAAAATTTCTTATAAGATAAATTTGATTCATTGAAAGTAATTCCTTTTTCTTTTAATGAAAACATTGAACAAATAAGTGAATCAAAACGTTTATTTAATGACCAAAATGATATTAAGATTTCATCCCATGATAAATAAGAAAATATATTGAAAAGTATTTCATTTGGTAATGTATCTAATGTATTTATTATTTTATCTAAAATATGAAAAAACTGATTTTGTTTGGATTTTGATTTTTTTTTCCTAAATAAAAGAAACAAAATAAATTTTTATTTCTTCATTTCATACTGACTGTATTAGTTAAGAAACTCAAATAAAACTAACAACAAAATACACGTGAAATCTATTTTTGATACATATCTATGTCATGCCAATTACGTAAATATCATCAATATATTTTACTAATTAATTACAATATTATATTATGGTTTCGGCGTTCGACCAGCTCATAGTATTTAGATCTGCAAAAAAAAACAACATTTCAACATTTTATCGTATTCATATATATTTTTCATTAAATAAGCACTTTCTACATGACTCTTTCGATTCTTAACAACAAAACATATAAAAAACTTTTGAAATAAAATAATTCTTATTCTCTAAAATAAGACGATACTCACGGTTTATAGGAAAAATCATGTGAAATAAGTTGACAAAAAAGAGATGTTTGAAATGGAATCATGTTTAATATTCATTATTCATATCAGATTATTTAAATTAGATAAAAATAATTTTAAAAAAACCGTTAAATAATACGTATAATTAATCGCTAACATCAAGTTAACTAATAAATAGAAGAAAGAAAAGAAAAATATTAAAAATGAAATCCATGATTTGTACATTGACTTAAAAATATTCTTTTTTTTCAACATAGAACGATATTCACTATTTACTCTGATAATTATACTAACAATGGAGGTGTGTGTATTGATGAGCGAAAAAGTGGCACATGTTCGGGTCAAATGAAAGCTCTCAACGCCAAACTAACAAGGTTAAA